CTACATATGAAAGCTATACTCTTTTATTTCAAAACATAAGAGTATGTGGTAGGAATCACTAGATACTAAGGAGGAGAGCTAGATAAAGTACAGGATATCTATCTTACACTCCACAGACACAAAGAAGCTAAATAAGAAGGAAGGCCCATGCAAAGATGCTTGAATCTCACTTAGAACCAGGAATAAAATAACCATAGGAGGCAGATGGAGGGAGGGAACTGGGTAGGAGAGGGAATGGGGAGGAGAATTGGGGGAGTCAGGATTAGGTGTGGGGAGAGACAGGAAAGAGGGCCAGAGGGCTAGGAGAATGAATGGAAATCTGTAGCTGCTGGGGGTGGCAGGACTTGCCAGAGACCTGGGATGGGGCAGGCTTCCATGAATCAATGGTGATGGCCTTTACTGAGACTCACAGCAGTGGGGATATGGAACCTGATGAGACCACCTCCTGGAGGCAGGCAGGAAGGGCCAGTAAGGTGATAGGGACACCAATCCACCCATAAAACTTCCAACCACAAATTTTTCCTGTCTACAAAGAAACTCAGGGACTGCGGATGGAGCAGAGACTGACTGAGGGAATTTTTCCTATCTCTGCTCCATTCGCAGTCCCTGAGTTAATGGCCAACTAATAACTGGCCCAACTTGAGATCCATCCCATGAGCAAGCATCAATCCCTGACACTATTAATGATTCCTTGTTATGCTTGCAAACATGAGTCTAGCATGGATGTCCTCTGAGGCAAACTACATTATTGACTAGTAAATATATTTGTTACCATGTACCAAAACAAGGACTTCTATCATTAAACTATGAGATGTATGCGATGGTCACTTTTAATTGCCATTTAACACAATCTGGAATCAACTGGGAAGGACTCCTTCAACAAGGCGCTGTCTACATTAGGTTGAGCTGTAAGCATGCCTGTGAGGTATTTTTATACATAGGTTGAGGTGGGAAGAGCCAGTCTGACTCTGGCTGTTTTCAAGAGCTGGACAGGGGATGGAATAAAAAGGAAATATTAATCCATTGATCTAGAGTGTAAGTCAAGCTGTGAGCCAAATAAAGCTTTTCTTCCTTATGTTACTTTTATCAGGATACCTTGTCACAGCAACGGGCATAAAACCAAGACAATTATAAGACAATTATTTCTTTGTAACCATTACTGTTAAATTTTTATACCAAAAAATCCAAAACAACTGAGTTAAAACTATAGATCTAAAGGGAGTTCCCAGTCAGATGAATCAAAGCATGGCAGGATTCACTGGTAGAGTTAAAGACAACATCTGATTCGTTGTGACAAGGACAATTTCAGACTTGATCAAGAAGCCTGACTTAAGCTACGAAGTAGTTACAAAGGAGAAAGAGAGCAGTAGGAACACAAACAGTTAAAAATTCTGAGTAAGGGATTTATTTAGTATCTCTAACCAACAAACAGTCATCCTCTGGCTATATCCAGTCACAGCCAGTGACAGGACTGTCTGGGAACAGAGAACGCAGGTTTCAACAGCAGCTGCCTGAGAGGTTCTGCCAGGCCTTTCATGCACAGGTTAGGTAATATGTTTATTAATACTTATATATAGTACTGTGCCTTTTACTTGCGATATTCTAAATATCAGATAAAGAATACACAATACCTTCTGTTTGCATTAAACAGTGGTTTTTATCCTCTCCTTTGGAGCAATTATGGAGCTTATAGAATGAGTTTATTACTTTTGAAATATAATGAAAATTTTAGAAAAAGCCATAATGTATGCTGTGAGCTCAAAGGAAGTCAAAATTATTGAAAATTAAATATCACCCAGCTAATTATCCATTTTTAACATTTTAATGTAGTGATGGAAATTGAAATTGAAATCCCAAGGTTTGCACTCTTTTGTATAAAAGAATCTAAATTTAGTCTTAAATTGCACTGTGAAATTTAAATTGTCACTACAATTCTCTAAGGCTCAGTTTACTCACATATGGCTGGCATAAAATAAACCTATGTTATAGTATTTCTCAGAATATACAATAAACCATGTTATAAAATGACTTGAGTTGGTACATTACAGGTTTATTTCTTGATTTTTTGTTATCATTGTAGATACTATCACACATTTTTATAACACAAACCTCATTATACTTATGTAGGCAGATATGTTAGTAGATCTTATAAAACTGAAAAGTTTCATTTTATATATTTTATTTAAGTTGTGAATATCAACATAACTAATTCATTTTATGTGATTATTATTTTCTGTAACATTTGATTAGAAGGACTTTGGTAGTGATGTATAGATTACTGATTAGTAATCTTATTTTACAGTGACTGAAACTGTAGCACATGGAGATAATATCTTATTTTCATTGCAGACCAGTAGAAAGTGGAAAATTATACCATGTAGCTATTCAATGGATTTCAAAACTACAAATGTTATAAAATGGCCCATGTTAACAAGATGCTTTCTAATACATTTCTTCATTATAGGGGAAAACCTAAACTTTGCTGGTTATATTTGTAGGCTATCTTTTGTAGAAATCAAAGCAAAATGAACATCTAGTATGTGCTTGAAAAATATCTGGACATTTTTCTATACAATCTTTATTTTTATGTTTCTTTATGATGCTAATTATAACTTGACAGCCTTTACTACTCTCAGTATTGTTGTATGGTGCTCAGTGTTAATTGTCAAAATCTTGAATCTCCTGGGAGATAAGCCTCTAGGTATACCTGTGGAAATTCTTTTGGTTACATTAATTGAGATAGGAAGAACTGCCTACCATGGGAGGCACCATTCCCTGGCTGGGGATTCTGTATACATACGGAGACAAGGAACTGAGGGACAGCATAACTTCATTTCTGTCTCTGTTTATTGACTGTGGATGCAATGTGAGAAGCTGTCCAACATTCCTACCAACAGTGGCTTCTCCACAGTTGTACAATAAAATGTCAAAACTGTGAAGTCAAATAAACCCTTCCTTCTAAGTTTTCTTTTGTCAGAACATTTTATCACAACTGAAGAGAAACTAAGACAAAAATTAGTACCTAAAAAAGAAGTGAGGCAATTGCTATATAAACACACCAATGAAGGTTGTCCTTTAAGCTGTTATGACTGAAGCATTCAATAGTTTTGTGCTTGGGAAAGAGAGCTTAATAGTCATTTTTCTGGGATCTTGGGGAACAAAGATGTTAAGAAAAATGAAGAAAATGTGTGTCTGGATCATGAAGTATCAAAGCAGGATGGGAGCTCTATTAAAGAAGGACTAGGAGGCATTCATGTGAAGTTATAGCAAAGAATCCGACTACATTCTACCCGTGTCCTGAGAACTTCCATGAAGCTGAACTTCATAAAGATATGAGTCCTTAAAGAATTGGACTAATTTGTTTGGTCGGTGGAGAGAATGGAAACAAGGTTACAGTTTCACAGAAAGAGTGTAGACAACAAAGCAGCTATAATTGTTCTTGAGAGTAGCATCACTGAAATGAACAATGGCACTCTACACTGGAATAGTATAAAAGATGACTTTTAGATAAAAACCCACTCACTAAAGACTCCATAAAAATGCAAATTTATATGAAAAGAGAAAGCTTGAACTGAGAAAGCAGCTGAGGGAGTTCCCTGTCCTTCAAAAGCAGGAACTTAGGAGAGACCTTTCCAAAGGTCAACACACAGAAGCTGATGCAACTCCAGTCCAAGCATCCTAGGTTCCATCTAATGGTAAGAACAGAACTTGACAGGGACATCCACATGCTATTAGGTTAGAAGCATGAAGGACAAGGTTTTATGTGTTTTGGAGTTCTGCTCCATTCTATGGTTTCAGAGAGCATCTAAGGCCAGGGAAAGTGTGGCAAGATCCAAGACCCTGTAATGGACGTCTTCAAGAGAACATTGTGTGATGTTGCAAGGGTAGAGCTAGGTGGCAGTATTGACTCCAGGATATTAGAGATTCTCAGAACATGGGATATTTGATGCAGAGACCAGTAGCCATGGATTGTTGCCAGACTGAGAAAGAGGCTATGTGCAATGCAGATGACAGAGTTGGAGAGGTGGAGCATGTTAAAGACAAAAAAAATCATTATCTCAGCTTCGAATTAACTATGATAACATTTCAAGTATAAGTTGAAGCTACAGAGCTTATCCTGAGGTTTCTAAAAAAAGTCCCATCTCTGACAATGAACAAGATGGAGTAAGTGTATGTCATGTAAGGCTTTAAAGTCTAAGAATAGAATAATAACTTAGTTTATACTACCTATGCCTGGATGGCCCCAAAGCACTATACAAACAAGCAGAAAGTAAGGTTAACTGTACAGAAAGGAGGGAAGAATAGTAAATTAAAGGAAAATGAGACTTACAGGTGCCTTCAGTTTTGAGTCTTTTGCAGATGACACTTACTATTTTTCCAGCACCATGTGAGATGGTTGCTGTAAACAGCTCTGGATGAACAGAACTGTTCCTTAGAGTCTGGCATCACATCCCAAGGGAAAGCAGTTCTGAGCTTTGCGGTTCTGTCAATGACATTTGAAACATCTGCTTTGCTGGGCTTGGTGGTACAGCCCTGTAAATCTTGCTCTTGGGATATCACAGCAGGATCAGGAACTCAAGCTCATCCTTAGCTACATACTGAGATTGAGGCTATTATGCTATGTGAGACCAGGTCTCAAAACAGAACAAACAATAGTCTGCCTTGGGGCCTCCTGGATTGTGGGTTTGCACCTGTTTTTCAGGGTAGGATCAGAGTGCTGTTGCTATTATAGGGTGCTGTAAATGGTTGCATTTCAAGTGTTATCTCTAAGTCACTGACTTGGAGTCTAAAATAGGAGCAGAACACAGATTTTGGACACACTTTTTGTCATCTCAACATTGTTTGAAGGAGTTCACTCCAGACCACAAATTAGAGTTGTGTGTACAACACAACTTCACAGTAAGTTCTTCCCTGGTACAAATGGATGTGGAAGAGGCATTCCCTAAGGATCCTTTTCGTATGTAAACATGTAGGAATGCCCATTAAAGCTGTTGTCTTACCATGTGGCTTGTGCTGTACATGTGGAGGAAGCTGGTTGAGAGCATTCCACTGATAGTCTGGCTGTCGGGAAAAACAAAGCACTGTTATAGAAATACAGACTTCAAAAAAAGCATGGTGGCACATTGAAATATAATTATACTCGATGGCTTTTGTTAACTAGCCAATGCGCAAAAAAAAAAAATCACTTTAATACAAACCTTTTGCCAATCTTTCTCATTTTATTGCTTTACTGCAACTCCTTTGCCTGTGCTAAGTTAGAATTCTTATGACTTGGTAGTTGTATATTTTCTATCTCTTCCCTCCACCTACCATCCTGATTCCTTTTATTCTCTCTCCTTTTCTTTCTTCTCTCCACCCCCAACTTCTCTATTTTCTTAACATTTTTGTCAATTTGGCATAAAGTATAATCACAAGGAAGAGAAAAACTCAACTGAGGCATTGGTTCCATCAGACTGACCTGTGCGCACATCTGTGGGTATTCTTTTGGCTAACAATTGATATGGGAAGGCCTAGATTACTGCAGGCAGTGCCATCCCTGGGCAGATGGTCCTGGATTGTGTAAAAAAGCAAGCTGTGGAAGCCTTGGGGAACAAGTACCATTTCTTAATGGTCTTGGCTTTAGTTCCTGCCTCTAGGCTCTTGCCTTGTGCTCCTACTGTGGCTTTCCTCAATGAAGAACTGTGTGATGCAGATGAATGAGCCACATAAACCCTCTCAGCCTCAAGTTGGTTTCAGTCAGTGTTTTATCAGAGCATCGGGTAGTAATTAGAACATCCCATTCCCTCTCTCTCTGTCTCCACTTCCTCTCTGTCTTGAAATGGTGTTTTTGAATCTCTGAAGAAGTATAAACATCTCTTAAAACGTCTTTCTTGCTGAAGCTCCAGAAAAGGTCATGGTGCAACAGGTACTCTAAATGGAATATACATTTTTTCCTTGAAAATTTCTCCTAAGTTTCCACTTACCTGTTGATTATTCGGAAACAAGCCAGCTGCACTGAATAAATGATACTTTGTTGGGTTGGCTAGTTTTATATCAACTTGACACAGCTATTGTCACCTAACAGGAGGACACCTCAATTTGATAAAATTTAATAAAAGATCTGGCTGTAGGTAAGCCTGTAGGGCATTTTAATTGGCCCATTGTAGGTTGTGCTACGCCTGGGCTGGTGATCTGTAAGAAAGCAGGCTAAATAAGCCTTGAGGAGCAAAGAAGTAACCAGCTTCATGGCTTGCTGTGTCTGTGGTCTCCGTATTAGCTCCTGCTTCCATGTTCCTGTCAAGTTTGAGTTCCTGACTTGCGTTCCCTCAATGAATTATGATTCAGAATATATAAGAAATAAACTCCTTCCTTCCCAATTTGTTTTGGATCATTTTGTGTCATCACCATAATAGCAGGCCCAACTAGCAAATGTATCATCATCCTAAACTGCCAAGAAAATTTTAAGCCACCGGTTTGGTATTTAACCTCTCGGAATGAAGGTTAGTCAGATCTTTCAGCTCACTGTAGCCTGACCCACCTCAACCCTCAGACACCCAGGCATTTGACTCTTTGGCCTATGAAAGAACTACAAGAGGAAATGAGATCAGCTCTGTTTCTTTATCTTCTTATTTATTTTTAGATGACTCAAGCAGCACATGATGCAGCTAAGTGATGTGAGCCCTGGATTTATATTCCAGGAGACCTGCCAACAGGAGGTAAGAAAATGTAATCTTACCAACATTATTAGCTATGATTTAATTCAGGTGTAGATTTACAGAAATATGAATTACTCTTTTAAAATTCTCCTTGAGGTTGGGTTACACTGATTTCATTCAATAGAATACTGTTTAAAATGTAAGCCTTTACTTTGCCTTCATCAAATACTGACTTTTTTCATGGTAAGTTATGATCTGAAATCTCTTACCTCTTCTAACACACCTGGAAAGTTTAATACATCATAGGACATGAGTTTTTTCCTTCTTCCTGTTAATGAAGGCTGACAGAAGCAGCTAACCATCTCTCTTCCAACATAAAGTTGAGTTTTTCATGTACCTTGTTTTTCACAAGACTATCAACTTTCTCACACTGTAGGCACAACTCTTTTTCCTTATGTTTCCCACAAACTTAATTTACTTCTACACCCTTGAGAGAAAATTTATAAGGAGTGATGGCTGTGATGGAGGAGGTTCAGATGTGTCTCTGGTAAAGACTGAGAAAGTGGAGAAGTCAGTAACAAAGTTGTAGAGTAGATGTGACCAGAAACTGGCCACATCAGGGAAAGAAACAGTTTCAAAGGGACCTCACTAAGTTCCTGTTTCCTTCTGCTTCCCAACAGGTACCATTTGCTCCTAAAGGAAAACGGTTTAAGTTATACTCTTACACAAAAGTACCACGGTTCCAAACAACCTGGAGAAACCCATTTCTCTAAGTGCTTTGCTAGAAAAACTCTACCTCAAAGCCTCAGAGCTGAAGTATGACTATATTGTTAATAAAACATAAGGGCAGAGAGTTGTCTGTTCATTCCAAGATGTAGAAAATGTATGACCATTCCACCTGAATGAGGATTCCACCCGTACTGGAAAAGCAGAGTAGACTCAAACATAGTGATTTATAGGGGCAAGAAATATTGCTCCTTGGAAGGATAGCAAAGATGCTTGGGTTCTGACTCATTCAGGTTAATGGTCCAAATCAATTCTGCTTACAGATAATTATTCAACTATCCTGGAAGACACAGCTACAAAGAGGAACTTTAGTGAGTTACTCTTTTCTTGGATCTTCCAAGAAAATCCCTTTTTAACTAAAAAAGGTCAAAACTCTTTTGCATGTACCTTGCAATATTCATGGTAATTCAATAGCACTTTATAACAGAAGAAAACATCATAGTTTTTTTTGGTTTGACTATATTTACTTTGTTTGTCTTATATGTAAAAATGTTCTTTGGGTAGTGTCGTATGTGATAATTGAGAATGGCCCATGTAAAATATATTTGTTCAAGGAAATAGAGCTCAATTTGATATCTTTTACTTAATCTATTTGTATTTATATGTCCTGTGGGTTCAGTATCCCAATGAAAATTATCGTTGACATGGACCATGAGAACATTACAAGTTATAAGTTAGATGAAAGAAATGTTCACAATCATTTCTACCAACAGAGATTCCTATATATACATATTTTGGAGGAGGAAGTCTTATTTATTGCATGCTTCCATAGATGCTGTTCTGGCCCTGAGGCTTTTGGGACTCCTAGATTCCATAGATAAAAAACTAAGCCACAGCTACAGGTTGGAAGACACATCTGGGGAGAGTGAGACTATCAATTTACTAGAAGTGAGTGAAACTGAGAAGTTACACCAACTCTTCTTGTATACAACAAGCCTTTGTTTACATCTGAAGGCTCAGCCTAATCCAGCATAATACCTGCTCAAAACAATAAATGTCAACAAAAACTAAGGAGTGGTAGAAGGGTCTCATGAAGTCTTTCCCAGGATGGCATTATCAATAAGGAAATTGAGAACACTTGAAAAGTACATACAACTAGCTTTGTTTATGAGTTCTCTTCATAGAGGGGCATCTTTAAAGGCAAACCATTACAGACAGAGATGTTAATGTGAGAATTTCATGCAGGTGTTTACTAGTGGAGAGACACAATGTCTAGTTAGAGAAGTAATGGGGAGGGGGTGGTTCTATGACAGAAGGGAGTTCCATTTTTTAGGGATAAAGCCCTTGATGTAGTTTTCCAGATTATATTATGCAAGTAACTGAGAGAAACAGCAAAGAGGCACATTTCTCAGGTGCTTATGGGTTTGTGAAGGAAATTGCATTTGCTAGATCACACTCTGACACATCCTATGTGCCTGTGATACACTCTGAGAGGTACATGGGTTTCTTTACATTCTCTGTAATTCCTGAGTATTATCTATTCACTGACATTTTAGGCATAGCAAAAGATGTGAATAGTTTTGGACCTTCTACTGCATTACTGAAAAAAAAAAAGGATGTCATCGAGACAATGGGAAATGTTATGAGAGTATAAAAACTGTTTATAAAAGACAAGAGGCCTTATGCATGGCTCATGATACCTATTTTAGTTGCTTGCCTTCGTAGTTTTTCTTTCTGCATCTGACAAGATTTTGTCTATAGAAAAAATGATATTATTTATCAGGAGATTTCAAGTCATTAGTTCCAAAGTTGATCTTGACCTAGCTATGAATGGCTAACTCAGAAGCCCAGAGATAGGTGTGTTGCCAGCAGTAATTTCACATGAAAGACACTGCCCCTGGTTGTGATATGTTGATTCTATCGTGAAATTCCCAACTGCAAGTTAGAAATTCAGCTAACTTTAAGTTGTTATACAAATTTGTCAGTTCGTATCTTTCTGTCATGATGAAACTATTTAGATACAAATACAGAAATTTTCACTGTTTGCTAAATGAAATTGGAATTGGTCAGCCTGAAATTGAGTGCCTCTCTCTCTCTCTCTCTCTCTCTCTCTCTCTCTCTCTCTCTCTCTC